ACTGCCTTTTGCCCATGTGCGTCCATAGAGTTTGAAGAAGCAGCAGAGCTGCTATCGGCAGACCCTGGAGCCTCCACACTCAGTATGTCGGGCTCAAACACCCCCAACACAACAGCATCAGCAGGAGAAGATGTAAAGCTAGACGTATCTGAGGACGAGGAGGGTCAGCAAGAGAGTTCAGAGGTAAAAAACGTTGTGTGGACTATGAATAAAGTTTGAGTTTCTACTTTGAATGCATATCAGCTGATAGACGTCTGTGCTTCCAGCTGTTAGGAGGGCAGAAACCAAGTGGTGGCTTCTGGACCTTTGAGTATTATCAGTCTTTCTTCGATGTGGACACAATGCAGGTATGCCTGACATCTACCTGACACTTTGTCTACACATAAAGTCTTTGTCAGTCAGTTTAAAGTTACATGTTTCTTTTGTTTGACCCTATCATGATGCAGGTGCTGGACAGAGTGAAGGGGTCAGTGATGCCACAGCCTGGGAGAAACTTCATCAAATACTACCTTAGGAGTAACCCAGATCTGTATGGTAAGTGGAAGAAGACACATTTAATTATTAAACTGTATTGCAAGAACATATTTTGCACTGTGCCTTGACTTATGGGGGGCGTGTCGAGGCTGTAAGTAGATTTTTGGTAGGGGAAATTAGATTTTAGCTATGCCTGAAGATGAGTCGTAGGTGGGTAGGTAGGAGATTAAGGGCCAGATTACTGTTGGTTTGCACCAAGGTAAGCCTCTTTTTAATGCTAAACGTGTTTAATGTCTCAGGGTCTTTATTATCTTATTGAATGTATCAGTTAATTCATGTGATTCAGGCATTTCTGACACATGTTAAAAAGCTGTTCAGGTTTCACTTATTGTGATTCCAGCTTTAACTGTTTGTTGCCCATAGGTTCAAAGGATCAACAAAGTGTCCATCAATTTTTTGACATTGATGAATTAGAAGATGAATGCACTCATATAAGTGTGCGTTTGTGCAGGTCCCTTCTGGATTTGTGTCACACTGGTGTTTTCTGTGGTGATTAGTGGGAACCTGTCCACCTTCCTTGCTGAGCAGAAAAACCCCACCTTCCACTACAGACCACAGTTCCACAGAGGTTAGTGCTGCACACAGTCTCAGTTTGACTCTGTCACTGTAGCACACTGGATCTGCATAGCTCTGTCTTGTTTCTCTGCCTTTAGTGACAATTGCTGCAGTAGTGATCTTTATGTATGCCTGGCTGGTGCCGATCGGGCTGTGGGGTTTTTTGACCTGGAGGCAAGGGGCCGAGAGGCAGATTGGAGGCTATTCTTTCCTGGAGACTGTGTGCGTTTACGGCTACTCGCTCTTTATCTATATCCCCACCTCTGTGAGTACATCTGTGGTGTTTACAGGTTTAATAAGTTGTATAAATGATCTCACCCATGATGCATGATATACATGTATAA